CACTCTGGGTCGAATGAAGATCCACGGGCCCTGGGTGGTCTCATTCACATGCCGGGCCTGGACCCCGGGTCATCTCACTCATTCACTGGGCCGGTGCTCTGGGTCTATTCAGGATCTGGCGGGACCCGGGTCGTCTCACTCACTTGCCGGGCCTGCGCTCTGGGTCTGTTCAGGATCCCGTGGCCCCAGGTCGTCTCACTCACTCACTGGGCCTGCGGTCTGGGTCTGTTCAGGGGCCCCAGGTCGTCTCACTCCCATATATGTATTAATAAATACGTATATTTCAGGTATTTATGACACTTTTTCATATTATCTCAGTTATCCTAATTACTGATACAGAGCAATCTGTTTATGCTGTATGAAGTTTGACAGGTTACTCATATGTATCTTTTATACATTCTCCTGGTGAAATAAAAGAAATTGGTCATCTGTCTGGTTTCACTGCTTGCTGACTCGCATTCAGGTCTTGAGTTGGCTACTTTGTGATCTTCATTTAACTTTCCAGTCTTTAGGTTTTGTTGTTGCTTTTTGGTGGTGCTGGGGATGGGACCTGGGGCCGCACATGTACTAGTCAGGTACGTGTCACTGAGCTGCATTCTCAGCACTAAAATGAAGAGGTTACACCAGGAATTTCCAAGAATTCTAGCTCTAATTTTGTGGCTCTCAATATGGTATCTTGCAAGTTTAAAAAAAAAAAAAGAAAAAAGAAAACCTTTCCTCCATTAATGTATCAAACCATTTTGATGTCTGAACATGAAAAGGATATTTTACTTGCATCCATAGTCAACAACTGGTATAGTCGTATTAATTAATTAATTTATTTATTTATTTTTCAGTACTGGGGATTGAACTCAGGACCTTGCCACTTGCTAGGCAGGCACTTATTCTACTGAGCTATCGCCCCCTGGCCCGGTATAATCACCTTCAACCAAATCCATGTGCACAGTGACTGTTCACATGCGTATGGACTGGGAACTCGAAAGCCACATAACATAGACACGTGGTACAGCATTCACACCACTGACGTACTTTTCTCTTCATCATGTGCCATATGTAATAGGACTTTAAAATGATTTTTCCTGTTGAATTACTACTCAATGTAGTCTAACTTGCTTTTTCTTTTTTTCTTGATGCAGAGAATCAAACTTAGGCCTTTGCACTCAGGCAGCTGCTGTGCCACTGAGCTATGTCCCTGGTTCCCTCAAACAGTGTAGTCTAAATGAATTTTTTTTTTAAATTTTGAGACAAGGTCTTGTTAGGTAGCTCAGGTTGGCTTTTTGTTGTTGTTGTTGTTTGTTTGTTTGTTTGTTTTGGCAAAACCAGGGATTGAACTCAGGCCCTTGCGCTTACCAGGGAAGTGCTTATTCTACTGAGCCATTTCCCCGGCCCCCTCAGGTTGGATTTGAACTCACTGAGTAGTCCAGGCTATCCCTGAACTCACAGTGATTCTCCTGCCTTGGCCTCCCAAGTGCTGGGGTTACAGGCATGCACCGCCATGCCCAGCCTCTGAATTTATAGCTATAGGCCACATTGCAAAGGTAATTTTTATGATACGGTTTGCATACCCTGCAGTTAAATGAATTTGTATTAATCTGACTTTTTTTTTTTTTCCTGTCTTTTGATTTTAGAACCGAACAATATTTTGGGAGTCCAAGTGACATGGCTTCTACTGCAGAGCACATCAGAGACAGGATGAAACTAGTTAGTCTCAGAAGGCAGCAGCTGAGACATCCTGAAATGCTGCCCACAGAGAGCTAATAGCTGCCAACTTCCCACAGGTCTGCAGCTCACCTCCCGCATGTCATCGCCTACTGCAGCAATCACCGCAGCACCCTGAGGCGCATCTCGCCGCTGCAGGAGAAGCCTCGTTGCTCCCCACCCCCACCTCACTCTCCATGCTCACACCTCACAACTTCCCAGGAGTAATTACTTAACATGCTTTGAGACCACAGACTCCAGGTACCTTAAAAGAAGGACTGAAACATTGCACTGAAAACTCACTTCTGAGCTTTCCCCGACCTGTCAGTTTGCAGATGAACAACTGATAATAAGCTTTGAATGGTGCTAATAAGAGCTTAGGAATTCTCTCTTTTAGAAAAAATGGTTGTCCTTCCTTTGCAGGTGACGTAGTAAATTTAGATTGTAATTAAACTATTAATAGTGGACAGTGGTGTTCTCAAAGTTTTACTTGGTAATTCTTCAGAATGGATTATTTTTATTGTGTCAATATGGAGAAAATCCTTCAGATCTTTGATATATATACATTCATTAAAGGACATTTTCTTATTTGTATTGATAATGTATTAAAACTTCTTTGTGCTTAATAAAAGGCTTCTTTAAACATCTTATTTAATTTGGTAGTTATACCATATCTCCAAACATGAGTGCCTTATGAAAAAGGGCATTCTTGAGATTATGGGGGTGATTTGATAACTGTTCTCATGGTGATTGCATGTGGCTTAGCCAGGAAATTCATATGTAAGCATGTGTATATAATACAGAAGCATGTTTTATCATGAAGAGTAATTGTGAAAAATGATTTAGATCTTTAAGGACATCTTAATAATGGAACACTGTTTCTAATTTTCTCTTCAGCTTGGAAAATACTGTCCATATTATTAATACCTGAAGATACTGACTTTGGGGAGGAGGTGTAAGGAAGAAGGCATTCGTAATTACTTCTGTGTAATTAATCCTTTATATCTATCAGAATGATCTTTCTGGAACTAAAATAGCAGCTGTTAATACAGTTAAGTCCTCATGACAGACTAGATGCAAAATCAGTATTGAAGCAGTCTAGTAGAGCACTGTACAATTCCTTTAGAAATAAAGTTTATCATAAAATGCTAGTCCTTTTATATTTGTATTTAGTTTCAATTGTAAAATGCATGTAATTTAATTTTTATGGTAATTTTTGTTTCAGATTTTTTAAAGAGTAAAACAGGTTTTTTTAGGCTTGTGATCAGTATAAAATTAGGCAAAGAAATGTATGCTGGTTCCTTTTTGTGTTCCCCAAACCAGCTCCTGTGACCTCTGACGCAGAGCCTCCGGGGCTCGCTGGCTCCTGCAGCCTCCTCACTGCCAGACTTCTTTGAGAAGCCCACATCCCTCATGCCCACGCCCGTAGCGCTCACCCCACTGCGGGCCTGGCTGCCCTCGGCACTGCGATGCCGCTCTTCATTTCAAAGTCAGCAGGGCTCTTCTAGTTATGACATTCAGTGTTTTTCCTTAGCCGGAATTCCCTACCTTTCTCTTTTTCTGTAACGTTTGACCATCAGCCAGCCTCTCCTAGACATTGTCTTCTCCCTCAAAGATGCTGTACAGTGCCATAATTGTGAGCATAGTCATGTGTCAGTTAAAAACTATCTTCTAAACATGCACTTTCTGAGAGTTCATCCTTAAAATGCTATGGCTCTAAGCATCCCATCCTTAGGTTTTCTAGTTCATCCCAGCATCCTCCAGTACAGTCTGGTTCCGAATACCAAGTTTACACCTTCAACTGCCTATTTCCATTTCATCCTAGAGAGGAATTTATCATACTCGCCACCTTTCTTCTCTTGGAATAACTTTGGCTAATGGTGCAACCTTTTTGCCTAGTCAAACATGCCAGGATCTGAGGCAAATTCAGCTGTTCCCTCTTATGCTGCTACTGCTTCCAAGAGCATCTAGGAAGTTCCTTCTATACTTGATAATACTCTCGCCTTTTAGGGCTTTATTCCTATGAGTAAAAACTTGTGTGCTCCTTCCTTTCAGTCTTCATGATGGTGCTAACCAGGTTCTACACTGCTTATGTTTCTTCCCGCTACACTGTAAGCTCTTTTGAGGGAATGATATTGTCTTACTTGTTCTAATTTCATGCTTTTGCTTCTATGTAGTAGAAACTCCGCTGTCCTACCTTGGATTCTGTTGTAAGTATTTAGAATAATCCCCCTTGTATTGCAGTCTGAAATGTGTTTTCATGTATTTATTTCCTAAAATTAAGACTGACTTATGAATGAATTGGCTTATAAGAAAGTCACTTGGTATTTTACTTACATAGGGAGCTACTTTAGGTGTTTAGTTATGCAATATGTATTTCTTCTACTGAATTTCGGAGTCCCTAGAATGTTTCTGTTATGACTTTACTAGAAGAGAAACTGATTTGTTTATGCCATAAACTCAAGGACCCATAACTACTGAAAAATTAATTTTTATTCATCTTATGTGTTTCTGCCCACAAAAACAGTGGTACAAGGCAAAATCTGGACATGTTGTTTGTAATCTCAATATTTCACATGAAACTAGCTCTGCTGTTGGAAAATACAGATGGTTTTTCATTTGTAATATTGCTGCAGCGTTTGTTAGCATATCTGTACAGATAGAGTTATGAATGAAACCCTAGCAATGCCCTACAGTTACTTTTATCAGTATGGTTAGTCTCCTCAGTACCTATGAAGGAATTGGCTGAAGTTAGTTGTAAACCAGAAGTCCTGGGTCATAAATTAACATTGGCTTGCAAATGTAACCAAAAAGAACCACTCATGTCTATCTTGTTCATACCACAACCTCCCACAGTACTGTAGCCCTGCTATGGGAGTTTCTCAAATGTTGGTTGGATTAATGGTTTGGTTTGGTTTGAGGCACTTTTTCTTTTTCTTACTGTACATTTGCTCCTGTATAGTAAACTTAGTATGAAGTGGCAGTTTGACATAGGTTCTTTGTCTAGTGGAGTTACGATGTAAAGATGATAACTTTGTTGTAGATCATTTTGGCTTTGTTTCCAGTCCTCATTATTGGTGACCTTATTCTGGTGGGGCAACTCACTGGTAATATCAGTGAAACTACTAAACCTGCCAGCTGGGAAATTGATGGTGGGCCTCGGTTTCATTACTAGGTGCAAGATTTCATTGCCTTGTCAGCTGGCACTAGTGTCATATTCCTCCAGATGCACGTGAGTTTCTGTTCTGATAGTGCTAAGGAAGCCATGTTCTCTGATGTAAACCCATTGTAACCAGTGGTGTGATAGTGAGCTTAGGTGAAATGTACAGTATACATTTGAAAAAATAGTTCAGAGTTCTCTATTTCACTCTTAAGTTACTGGCCAGCCCTGTGTACTTCCCCTGCGCTCACACCCTCCCTAACGTACAGAGGACTGCAGGAACATGCCATGGCTCTGAAAACCTAAATATAGCATCACTGCTACAGTGCACTGTATCGTGAACCCATAGAGATGACACAAGCAGAAATAAATACCCGCACATCATGATACCCATCACATCATCATTGGTGATGAGCCGTGTCATTATGGTATCTTTGTTTAAGCCCCTGTAAGAGAAGTTCTCTAGGACTAAAAAGATTGAGTGAAGACAACTGAGCTGCCAACCTAATGAGTTAATCAGTGTTACCTTTCAGCCCTAGAAACACAAAGTTTTATTTGGGAGTAGAATCACGTTGCTAGTATTAGGCCAGCAAATATCTTAATGAGCAGATGAAGTACAGACTTAACATTTGGCTCCATTGTGTGCCTCAGAAAAGTCTCAGTTTTTCTAAGAAGCATAACTAGTGGCAAGACTTGTAGAGGAGTGGTCATAAAAGCTAAAATAGCTGGTAAATATAGTTGAGTCTGGAGTTGGAATACAGTAATTGACCTGAAAATCTGCCTCTGCCAATTCCTGGCAGCCCTGTATGCAACAACAAAAAAGAGATCAGTGAATTTCTCTGAGACATAAAATAGGGAAATCAAGTAGTTAAAATAATTAAATCACACAAAATGTTAGAAGTCAGAAAGCTATACAAAATGGAAGGTATCTCTATAATTATCTTTTTGGAATGAAAAGTTGAGCATTCTTTAATCTGCCCTGCCTCAGAAGGTGAGTGTGGGATGTTGGAAGTGGCAGTTTATGTTGACTGCCCCTGAGCTTAGTCCTCGCTTCACTCACACCCATTTCACTAGTGTACAGGGAAACACACTCCAAATTACGCACCCAAGATACTGCAAGTGGACTTGGTGTACTTATCAGTATATAATAAGGCTTTAAAAATGACCACACAAGTAAAAGAAAATCACAGTTGGCGTGTGTATGAATAAGTCAGCACTAACATGGAAACCTACGTTTGTCAGGGTGTTTATAAAGTCATCCAGTAATGAGGTGACAGACGTGCAGCGGGAGCACCCCATGTGCTGCCATGGTGAGAGGGGAGCCACCGTGGCCATCGCAGGCAGGAGATACCGGGAAACACCTTGTCCTTGCTGGGCTCGAACTGAGGGCATCCCACAAGTCAGCATAAGCACAGGGGAGGCCTGCAGCCTAAAAAGGTTCATGGGGACAGTGCTGAGTAGGAGTCAACAGTGAGCAGTCGTTTAAAGCCGTTTGAAAGCTTGAGAAGAAACACTAGTCCCTGTACTTAAAGTAAAAGCAGAACCTGCACTAGAACATCAAGAATGAAGCCAGACCTGGAGCTAAATATATTGAAAGCCAGTAAGTGAAGTTTTTCCAGAATCAAGATTGTTTTTGTGAGAACTCTTTATAAGGCAGTATACAGCATATATTCCTGGATGGCATGGTAGAGACATTCTTAGCATGCAACTAAAAATAACCACTATCTGCCAGCTCTTGAGAGTGGTGATGTGAGGGTTTTAAAGTCAGGCATCTGGGAAGCTTGCTGACAGAAGGTCCTCTGAACTTTGAAGTGGAATCCTAGTAAGCCTCAAGATGGCACCAAGTATTTACAGGACAAATGCCCTGTCTGCAGGGTGTCCAAATGCAGCTCTCCTTAGAGGCAGGACGGTGATTAAGATGCCTCCCCTCTGAGGATACCGCGACTCCTCACCACACGCGATCAAGCTTCAAGTCTTACAGTTACTGTGGTTCTTTGGTAGTCTAGAAGTTAGCGGTTGCCTCCTGTACTTAATTCTTTCTTTAATGTTCCTTTGTCCTAACTTGGGTGTTCGTCCCACCTGACCAACAGATTTGCCCCACTTAGGCAACCAAAATAGATGGATTTTTCACAGATATGAGAGGATCAAAACAGTACTTCAGTGATTTTGGACCAGGGTAGATTTGAGAAGTGATTGTGTACCATACATGGTCTATGTCATCAGTGGCGGCAGACTTTTGCCATGCGTACCAAAGTGGGCTGTTGTGAAACAGAAAGCGCTAAAGTGTTCCCTGCCACTGTTCCTGAGTACCCTTTCACAGGCTCTTTAGAGGAACTTAAGTTTCTTTTTTCTTTTTTTTAAATGTTAAGACTTTTAATACTTCATCACAAAAGCATTGACCAAACAAAATGATGTTGATAAGAATTTTTAAATAGAGGAGTTTTAGAAACAGCAGTGCAGAAAATAGCATTAAAATGTTTGCATCATCACAGTCATCTTAGTATGAGAAACTTAAGAATTTGATGATTACATGAGCATGAGACCAACAGTGAGGTTCTCGGCATTTTTGGTAGTGTTGGGAATTAATGTCTGCTTCCCAGTGTTTTAGTATAAAAATTTTCAGGCATATTAAAAATGAAAATAATTTTGTAATATAATGCCTAGATGCTAGTTAACTGTCCTTCATCATGTATCCATTAGATTGTCAATCCAGATTTCTAATGCATTTAAATTCCAGACATCCATACTTCCTACCATGTACTTCAGCGTATGACAACATGTACAGTGCTATCAAGATAGAAAACAGCACCCTAGAAAGCTCCCCGGTGGCCCTTTCCCTTGTCTTTTGCTTAACTTTCAGAGGTAGCCACTGTTCTCTTTTCTACTGTAAATTACAGTTTCTGTTTATCAACTTATTGTAAATAAAATCACATCATATACTCTTCGACAAGGCTTCTTCACTATCCTACTGCTCGGGAGATTTAGCCACATAGCGGGATGTATATTATCCATTCATTGGGTCGCTTACAACCGAGTAGTGTTCCATTCATTGTATACTGTAGTTTGTTTACCCAGGTTCTTGTTCCTGGTCTGTGTCCAGGATTGGCATTATAAATAAAGCTGCTGTGACCATACTTAACATAGGTCTATGTGGACATATGTGTTTATTTTTCTCTTGGGTAAATAGGATTAGAATTGCTGGATTGATTATAAAGTAGTTTTGAAAGAAAATGTTTGTTTTTTTAATGCAATTGTTTTGTTCCCTAAATTTTATATTTTGGGTGTGTTAGAAAGGTATACACTATTTTTTATGATCCATATTGAAATATTAGGAGAAGTAGGTTTGGGGTAGAAATGGCTTCATTCATGGTTAACAGTAGGTATTATTTGAGGGAAGCAAAGACTTGTCTGCCCGAAACAGCTCCTTAAAAGGTTCCTATGCTTGAAATTTTAGCTTTAGTTTTTCTCCTTGAAAGTTTAAGCTCTGAGCATGGTGATATATTAGCTAGAAGAAACAGCACTGGTTTGTTCATATTATTAACTTTTGCCACCCGTTTTCAATTCGTAAACTAAGACTCTCATTGTTGAATAAAAAACTACTGTTTGTTGGTAGAGTTGGAGGAAGTAGTTTAAAACAATGTGCCCGTAGTCCATCCTTGGTACAGCAGTGTGAGAGTCACCTGGACAGGGACAGCCCTGACGACTGCGGGAAAAGCAGAAAACAGGGTGGGAAGACTTCTACCTCACAGTTTTGCATAGGGGATAGCTATGCGTTTGCAGGACATTTTAGCCTTTAAAAATCGTATTTTCAATGTTGCTCTTTTATTCAGTACAATACTACACTCTGATGGCTTTCTTCTTCACTGTGTTTTATCCTTCCTGCCAGTTCTATGATATAAAGCATTCACCTGTACTAGCCTGTAAGATTATAACCATACGTATGTTTGCAATGCCCATATTCAGAGATATTTGTGTATGACCTATCCAGTTTTTCCTATTAGATTTTTAAGGGCTGGGAAATTTGGCTTCTACTGTAAATCCTTATAATGCTCCATACATTGTAAATATGCAATAAAAATGTTTAAAACTATAATGGCATTTTTTGATATGTATTTCTATGTTGTCACTTGGAACAATACGTTTGATTTCTGTTAATAAAGACCATAAAATCTTGGGAGAAATAAGTTATACTTGCTTCATAATACTTGATGAATTCAGAATCTTTGAATTTATTTAAATTGTTTTTATAAAACATTCTTTTACCTTGTCTTCTGAAATCTGTAACTAAAACAAAAATGGGGCTTCTTTATTTTGAAATAATTTGTAGTCTTAAGAAATAGATGGGGCTGGGGAGATAGCTCAGTGGAATAAGTGCTTCCCTGGCAAGTGGAAGGGCCTGAGTTCAATCCCCTGTTCCGCTAAAAAAAAGGGAAAAAAAGAAAGAAATAGAAACTTTTCCTTCCATTCCCAGCAGATACAAACCTGTCTTCCTTGAGGCTTGGCATTGACATTCAGTGCTTTCTGTAGGTCTTGCAGTATCAAAAGTGGTTTATTCTCCAGAATGTTTTTTATATGTCTATATACTATACATATATGATAACTACATTATTAATTATAATTTTTTATGTATTTGGTACAGGGTCTTGCTACATAGGTAGGACTCAGTGATTCTCCTGTTTTCAGCCTCCTGAGTGCTGGGATTACAGGTGCTTGTCACCATGCCCAGTCTCAATTGCTGTCTCAGCGTGCCCTGGGAGCGGGGCAGGCACAGCAGGCCTGGGATCAAACTGGCTCCTGCCTCGGCCTACGCAGGCACTTTAATCCACTGAGCTGTCGGGCCGGCCCATGTAATTATAATGCATATATATATATATACATATATATATATATGTCTCACATTATAATATATAATATTTATATCTATATTATTAATTTTTTATGTACTGTGAATTAAACTCAGGACCTTGCATTTGGCAGGCAGGCGCCGTGCCACTGAGCTATATCCTCAGCTGCAGAAGGTAATATTTAAATTTCCTCTGACCCTACTAAGAAGTCAGTTGACTTTTTGGTTTTGTTTTCTGGAGCCAAGAGTTGAACCTAGGCTCTCCCACGTTACGTAAGAGATCTGTCACTGAGCTACACTTCATGCACTTCCAGCTCAGAAGTCAAAGTGGGTTTTCTTTTCCTAATGCTGAGGATCAAAGCCAGGCCAAAGCGCGCCTGGCAAGTACTCTACCACTGAGCTACATCTCTAACCCAGAAAGTCCTTTTTAAAACAAAAGAATGTCTTAAATACATAAAGAAAACAGAGTTAGCTACATTTAGTTTCTTTTTTTTTTCGGAACCGGGGATTGAACTAAGGTCCTTGTGCTTGCCAGGGAAGTGCTTATTCCACTGAGTCATCTCCCCAGCCCGAGTTAGCTACATTTAAAATAACAATATTGTATTCTATAATAGCAGCTCCAGAGTAGATTACAGGGAATTTAGGATTACTAGAGTTTGGGAATTGACAAATGAAGTTAAGTACATTTGCATGACAATTCAACACAAACAAGTTAGAGAATATGTTCATATTAACAATTTCTTTTGCATAATAGTTGTATCCACCATGTCTAAATTTCTCATTATACACTTGATATTGAAGGTGTGATTAAAAATACATGGGTATTTAAGTTAAGCATTACAGTAAAATCCGCATTGCCCTTAATCCATCTCAAAATACTATCTACCTTCTAACACACTTGTCCCGCCATTTTTGCCACTTTATGAAACAGTACTGAAGTCCTCGGAACAGATGTCTGTTGCTGAACTCTGTAGCTGTCCCAATGTCCTGCATCCATTCAAAGCCTATACTGTTCATAGTCATTCTGACCTAGTGAGAAAGCCGTAATTCTCACTTGACCAGAGCTGGTGAATGTAGTAGGTCAGGGCACACCATCATATTTTAAAGTCTTGCTTTCCATTGGTTGACATGGTGGCAGCAGCATGTACTATAGTTTTGGTCACACATTGCAAAAAGCATGAAAGAAATTCATGGCAAGTATGATGGGATAAGAGTGTTCAGAGCAGGGGCAAGTACTTTGATGCCATTGAAGGGCAGGGTGTCTTGTTTAAAAAAACAAAACAAAACTTCGCAAATCAAACCCACACCCTCTTTTTCAAATCTTTCCTTTTATTCACAGTCTTGTTCCAAACCTCTGAAGATAAGTGATGTAGGAGAAAATGTAAATAAGTCAGTAGCAATCCTTGACATGCTTGTCTTTCTAATCTGTTTTAAGCTTGTATCTTAAATGTTCTCAGAAAGAGACCACTAGTTCTAATTGTCTACACATAGGAACTATTGTATTTATGGGAAGTCCTGTACTCAATGGAATGAGGATTTTATAGAATCCCTTAAAAGGGAAATACACTGTCCATGAAAAATGACTATTAAGATACGATTGGTTCCTTTCATCAGACACATTGTGAGTTAAGCAAGAGTCAATAGGATGATGTGGCCACTAGTGGTACTTAAGTGATGGTACTATAGGTTGCAAGTTAAGAGCAACAGCGGATTTTTAGAATTTGTCCCACTCATTCTTCCCATTCATTACTGCTTTAGTCTAAAAATATTTAGAGCTCATAGATTACAGAACTCTTTAGTACTTAGAATATCAACACAGTTTAAGTTTTAAGGAACAGTTACATTCTAGACAGAGCCAGAGTTATGTTTTTAGATAAGTGATTTTCAAACCAGTGGACCTATGAGTCAACTGGAGGTCTTATTAAAAAGCAGAATTTGATTCAGTAAGTGTAAGAAGTAGTTAAGGGTCTATGTTTTTGACAAGACCCCTGGGTGGTGATGAAGCAGCCAGTGTAAAGGCTACACAACCGCAAGGGTCTGTGGTGCTCTGTCCTCACGAAAACTGCAGCATATGGATTTTTCCAAGACTATATGCTCTTCTTTTTTCCACACTCAGGGCCTACCATGTATGCAGCAAGCACTCTTCCTCTGAGCTACACCCCAGGCTAATGGTCTTGTAAACTTTCCAAGTGGTGTGGGGGAAGCAGGTACTCCTGGGGCCCACTTTATGAAGTTACTAGGTTCTGGCAAATCAGCATATGCATATATGCTAAGTGTTATCAAATTCAAACTAGTGAAGCCCCAACTGGCATCTTCCTGTCTCCTAACTAATGGCTGTTGTCAGCTAGAAAACTAATCCCTATATGTTTTCAGTACAGGGTCTCACTATGTAGATTGCACTCACAGCAATCCTCCTGTTTACAGCCTCCCAAGTGCTGGGATTGCAGGCGTGCACCACCACGCCCAGTCTCCATCACTGTCTCAGCGTGCCCTGGGGGTGGGGCTGGCACTGCAGGCCCAGGGATCAAACGAACTCTCTGCCCCTGTGTCTGCCTGAACAGGCATTTTAATCCACTGGGCTATTTGGCCAGCCCTCTATTTTAATCTTTTTAAATCTTTATTTATTTTGTACAGAGCCTCACTATGCAGCTCAGATTTGTAGCGATCCTCCTGTCTCAGCCACCCCAGCTTTGGCAATACAGACATGCCCCACCATGCCTGGTTTCAATAGCCAGCATGGCATGTACTAGGGATGGAACTTGGATGCTTGTGCTTGCCAGGCAGGTGCTCAGGCCACTGGGCTACCTCCCCAGCCCCTAAAGATCAATTTTAATGTAGAAGTAATGTAGAGCTACTATTTTAAAAGGTTTTTCAGTGGTGGCAAACCTATGGCACGAGTGCCAAAGCAGGCTGTTTGTGTCATTGAAAACTAAAAGGCTCACCATTACTGTACTAGGTAATAAAGTACAAGAACTACAAACTTCCCATAATTCATCAGTGCAGACAGCATGTAGTTAATACTGTATGCACTTCCTTTGTGTTTGATGCAACATAATCATGCCACCACTCAGCTTTATTTCCTGCCTTTTGTAGCCATTATAAAAATTTTCCTTTATTAAATTTTTTTGCTGTAAGTGAAAGACTAGTATTTTTTAATAAATACTATAATTATTGCCCTACGGATTTTTTTCTTTGGCTTAGATTTTGTTCCTCTTGTGCGGTTTTATTTTTTAAAGTTCTACCAACAAGCAATTTTTGGTGTATTGTGTGAAGTGCTGATATGATCAGTTTTTTCCAAATAGCAAATATAAGTTCTCCCTCCCATCAATTTCTGGTACACTAACGAAACATTGTGGAGTTTGTAAGTCCACAGTCCTGCTTCTGGGCTAGCTACTGCATTCTGTTGATCATGTGTTTCTTTTTTCTTTTTTTTAACCTGGACCACAGTCCTTCCAGAGTGGTTTTTTAAATGATTTTTTTTTAATCAAGATGTGTTCTTAAGGGGCTAGGGAGATGGCTCAGTAGAATAAGCACTTCCCTGGCAAGCACAAGGGCCTGAGTTCAATCCCCAGTTCTGCCAAGGGAAAAAAAAAAAAAGGATTCTTTGGGGTAGGAAGATAATTTGGTAGTCCAAGCACCCACCTTGCAAGTGTAAGGACCTGAGTTCGATCCCTGGTACCACAGGCTGTGCTGGCCCCAGAACACTGAGCACACCATGCTGACCCTGAAACGCATGGTGGTGCACACCTATAATCCCATTGCTGGGGAGGCTGAGACAGAAAGATCACTAGGGAGTCTGAACTGGCTAGCAAGACCCTGAATCAACAAAACAAAATGAACAAAAAAGAAATGTTATTTAAATTAACAATATAGAAGCAGTGCTTCCCTACTGAAAAAAACAAATATTGATGGCATAAGTAAATAACAAACTTCATGAATCATGATAGATGTGAGTATTTATAGGACTAAAGGAAAAGGTTGATGTGCCTAGAACTTGTTAGTACAGAAGAAGGAAAGGGAAAGGGTGGTACTTGAAGAGGGTATTGACTACCCAACATGAAGAACAAGACGAGTGGCCCCGAGGAAAACATGCAAGAGAAAAGAAGAGACAGCAGGAAAAGAGCACAAAGAATGAAGGGAGACAATGGAGATGAAACTGAAGATGGGTGAAAATAATGAATCATTCAGTGTATACTTTCAAGCATAAAGAATATTTACATTAGTGAATCTGCATATAAAATATAGGC